CTATGTTTTGCTTACTTAGACGTTATTATTTCAAAACTTTCAGACTATCAGCATTTTCAGAGAGGTCAGATGTGTTGGCCAGTTTCAAAATTAAAAATATATATATATAGTGCTCTGTCCATTATCAATGTTGTTCTTTCTCTCTCCTCTTGGGAACAGCTCTTTTTGTAGTTGGGACTACTCAATCCAATCTAATGATCAGAACTCTCAAATTTTGGTGCTGCATTAAAATATCCACGTTTGCTTATGACCTTTTCCACAAAACTGTAGCTACCTTATTTTCCAGCATTTTAATTTTGCCATGCCAACAATCTGTGATGTAAGATTTGATTTTCCTCTCAGCTAAAACAATTTTCCAGATGTAATTGCAACTGGATAACTTCATTAGAATTACTTTGAAATAGACACAGGAATAGGAAGGGTGGATCAGGCTGGATCCACAATTCTCTGTATGAAAGAAACAAAAGAAAAAAGCACTGGAGAGATTAGTTATGTAAAAGCTGCAAGCACCCATTTCTTTATAGTTGAACAATTAAATTAAATTTCTTCCTCTTACAGACGAGAGAAGCACTTCTAAAAATCTTAGATGATATTAAGGAAGATGACCACTTCAATTTCATACTGTTTGGTAGCGATGTGCACACCTGGAAGGAAACATTAATCAAAGCCACTCCTGAAAATTTGGATGAAGCAAGAAAGTTTGTCCGGGGCATTGATACTGAAGGCTGTGAGTACTTGACTTGTAGGCTGTTGAGTGTCTTAATTCTCCAATTCAGTCTGCGAATGCAATGCTACCACTTTAAAAATTGTCAGTGGGACACTACTAAACTTGAAATTGTTGCAACAGATGACATCTTTTCATCCTTATGTTTGCAAAGCTCAGTTATTTTTGTATCTAAACATCCCCTTGCTAGCAAACTCCAACTTTTCATTGTCATACTACAATCAGGTTTTCTCAGATTCCCATGAAACATGGTCTGTTATTTTAACTGTGTCGAAACCAGATTTCTATGTCTATCTTACAGTGACAAATTTATATGGTGGAATGATGAAAGGAATTGATATGCTGAAGGCTGCTCATGAAGGAAACCTTGTGCCCAAGAGAAGTGCTTCAATAATTATCATGTTAACCGATGGCCAACCGAATGTAGGTAAGTTTGTGTTGGGTGAAATAACAGAGTGAATTAACTAACAAAAATCATTTTAAATTAAAATAGGCCGTCATCTTTGACTTCTGCTTTTTCCTTTTTCACGATTGAAATGCTACTACACCATCATCATGTGACCAAACAAGTTTTTGATAATGTCTCTTAAGAAATCCAAACACCTCTAAACACATTTAATTTTATCTATTTATGAAGAAACTCAACCTTTTTTTCTTGTTTAATGTAGGGATATCAAATACTCAGGACATTCAGACACATGTGAAAAAAGCCATTGAAGGAAAGTATACTTTATACAATCTTGGTTTTGGTTATGGTGTTGATTACAACTTCTTGGAGAAGATGGCACTGGAAAACAAAGGATTGGCCCGTCGGATTTATCCTGACTCTGATTCAGCTTTACAACTCCAGGTACAGTAATCACAACTTAAATTAGATGAGAGATGTGTTAATTCTGGCAAGTATGCTAACTTTTTTTTAATTCTGAAGTAATCAAAAAGCAGAAAGTGTACTCTGGTACTGAGGCAGTCAAGTATGCTGTAGTCAGAACATTGGTTGCATTTGATTTTCTTCTTCCTTTCTGAAATAATGGAAAAAAAAAAAACCACTAAAGAGAGACTCCCCACACTATGGAAGAGTGTTCAAAACTTGGCACAGGTGACACAAGACAGACATGGTTCTGAAGGACACCTTGGTGTGTGCCACATTATATAAGCAAAAGTGCTGCAGTCACTCTACCTTCCATATCTCACAGATTATGTCAAAAGAGGAGAAGGCCGACAGAGGTTAAAGGCTCTAGATATTCTGCATTTAGGGACTTTCTGCAAGCTAACTTATTTTACAGTACTTCTGAAACATTCTGAATTATATATGACATCAAAAGACATCAGTGTAATGTGGAACTGAATTTTTGGCTTTTGACGTGGAAATAGCATCCATTGGAAAGACTGGCCAAAATGTTGTATGCTGGATTTAATTACAAGATCAAATGCCTCATCTTCTTGGCTGGTGTTATCATTTCAGTCTCTTCAGGGAGTTGGTCTAGAAACTTACTTTATGAAATGAAAGAACCTTGGGATCATGAGATCCCAGTCTCATGATGAATGATGATGGAACTCATCATCCACAGCATGTTTTCTTGGGTATTTTCCCTCTGTTTTAGTGAGACCAAAAAGTTGGTGTGTCCTTCCTCATTTGCCTTGTAGACTTTAGGTTTTGTATTCTGAGATGTAACTGAATATTTACATATTTCCTCTAAAATGCATTCTAAATGTTCACTGCTGAAATAGCACTGGTTACAGATCTACACATAAATTAAAGAAAACATGGTGGTTAAATATTTTTCTTTTTATCCTACAGGGTTTTTATGATGAGGTGTCCAATCCTATGCTAATGGATGTGGAATTGAACTACCCAGAAAATGAAATTGCAGACGTAACTAAAAACAGCTTTAAGCATTTCTATGATGGGTCTGAGATTGTGGTGGCTGGGCGCCTTAGAGACATCAACCAAAACAGTTTGACAGTGGATGTGAAAGGTGAAGGTGTAAGTATGGATTTCTTTGACTATTTTCTTGTTCCACAAAGTATCTGTGTTCAAAGGTGGCACAACTTAAAATAGTCACACGTATGTCTTCACCTCAGTGAGAACATGTATTGCTGTGTATGTGAGAAAGCAAGAGCACCAAAGGCATTGCTTTTACAAGTTCCTTAGGCAAGTTTCTTGTCTAAGTCTGTTAGTTACACTTGGGTTAATCCAGAACAGCTTTGTGCAACGTGACTGAATAAGCTTTGCTAACTTATTTTGTTTTCTTTACTCTCTGAATATCCTATCCAGTTCTTTCAGAAGCCAGATGTTCAGTGCTCGTAGGCAGTAGTCTTCATATTGAACAAGTTGCTATATAAGAATCATAATCACGATTCTTTAAATCCTGAGTAGTCAAATTCTAACTAATCAAATGTCATTTGAATTTGGAAAGTGCATTATGTCTCATAGCATACACTACTGAGCTTTTCAGAAGCTAAACAATTCCTGGGCAAATTCTTCATTGGACCACAATGTTTTTCAATTAATTAAGATTTTCAGGTGTTAAGGTTTTGATTTTGGAAAATACTGGGAGTCCCTGGCTTATTTTCCTTATTCCTAACAGGCTAATGATGCCCTATCATTTACTTCACACCAAGATAAGGAGCAAACAGCTAAAGCTTTCCAAGAGCAGGAATATATATTTGGAGATTTCATTGAAAGGCTTTGGGCTTATCTCACCATTGAACAACTCCTGGAAAAACGGTAATTATCCCAAGAGTCACACGTTCAGTGAAAGCACCAAGCTGTGGGGCTGCTCCAGCCTCTAGGATGTAAAGCTGGGATTGAGATCTATTTCCTTGTTTTTGCTCATCATCACACTGAGATGCCAATAGGAAAGCATAAAGAACAATAAGGAAAATCTCCACAACCTCAGCATTTGTTTTACAGTTAGCAAATTAAACAGTTTTAAATTATCATTAATGGAAAACGCAGTTTTGTCTTTTTAGCTGCAGAGAGATTACTTCACTTTTAAAAATAGCACTTAATTCAGAGTTCAACAGTAATTTGGCAATCACTGATGCTAGGAGTCTCTCCCTGTATTCAGCATTTCAGCTACAGGAGAAGAAAAGGAGAATCTTACAGCGGAAGCCCTGGATCTATCACTAAAATACAAATTTGTGACACCACTGACGTCCATGGTGGTAACAAAGCCAGAAGACGACGAAAATCAAGCAGCGATTGCTGATAAACCTACTGAAGGTACAGACATCCTCACAGTTTTATCAAAGTTGCTTTCATGTTCATCTGAAGAAAGACTTGTGTGAGCACAGTTTCAAACACATACTGGAAAAAACTGTTTTCTGTGCCCTGCAGATGTATGGCTTGTGCAAAATTAGTTTTCCTTCTAAAGCTCATTTCTATCAAACCATCCTTCACTACCAGTTCATATGGGGAAAATACTATAAATTTAAAAGCAGTGTATTTAAAATTAATATATAAAATATTGCATCACAAGAAAGTAGCATTTCTTATCTCATAATTCAGTTAAATTCAATTCTGTTCACATCACTTTCCCCTTGATTGTTTATATACTTAAAAGTAAATGCAGGAGCATCTTTCTGTGTGAAAAGGGAATATTGCCAGATCTTCCTTGTGCAGAATATATCAGAGGTGGTGATACCTGTAAAACATGGTATTCATATATGTTGCAGAAGGAAAAATAAGTAGTATTGAAAGTGCACCATTTATTCTCATCTCCTTTAATACTTTGGCTAATTATTAACTCCTTGCTCAGTAAATCATTGTACTTTCATGCAATTCAGCCTCTTTGCTTAGCCTACCTGAAGTGGAATTACTTTATTCCTCTTTATTAAGAGCAAAGGGAGACAAATTCTATCTTCTCAGTGCACCCCAAAGCCACTCTGTCATCAGATATGTGTTGTTTGAGCCATTCTCATCTCTCCCTAATTCCACAGATCTGACAAGCCTCCTGCGAGGCTCTCCAGTCTCATCTCTCTACATCTGTTGTTTTTTTTTTCCCCTGAAACTTTAGCCTAGTGCCCCTAGTTTTGTCCCAGTTCCTAGTTCTAATCCATTTGCTGGCTTTTGCATGAAAAACATTCTTACCTTCTGAATTGATATGATATGATAACCAGGGCATGATAACCAGGACTGACTTTAAGGTGATTTAACATAACAGAAATGCTTCCTGGTGATTAGTAAGAGTTTCTTTCAAGTGGAATAAACCTTGCAACCACTTAATTGCTAGGTGCCCTACAATATGGAATAATTCGACAGGCATTCTGCTGATAAAATTGCTTGTGTTATTTATTCAGAAATACCATGATGGAATACTGACATAAAAACGCTTCATAATTAATTTAGCATTCAAGACATTATGCAGCATAATGATTTTGTAGTTTACAGATGGACACTACGAGATATAAAACATAAGAGCATCTAGCAGATGAGGCAGGCATTCGGAGTGACCTGAGTGACTCACAGGTCCTTTTCTGAATCTCTTTCCAAGAAAATCCTCTATCTGTGTGATAATAGAAGTAATAGAACTACTCAGAGCACTCCCAGCTTGTAGAAAAAGAACATGATTTTTACACATACAGGAGTCTAGATTTGTAACTGTTATAAAATACTGAAGATGTACAGTTGAATCTGACAATTCAACAATAGGGTTTTTTTTGAATGCATTCAATTGTACAACTGAAACTGTAATTTTCTCTTTTTCTTCCTTTTGCTTCTCTACTCACGATAACAGCTGAAGGTACGTACATTTGTTATTAAATTCACCTGACATTTTTTAATCATTAGATTTAGATTTCCTTAGGTTTGGATTTATTCCCTGACAATTGTATGAAAATATTGCACCATAGATTAAGACTATTACAATTAGATTAAAAACGGTTGGGATTGAAAATTTTGGGGATACTGCTTTCAGTGTGGATCCTCAGAATTGCAGTGTGCCACCATCATGAACTTCTGGCCCAGTACAACTAAGCTGCTTTCCAGGGCTAGCACTGTTGGCTCGCAGGCGTGTAGACAGGTCTCCTCACAGAGATGCCTTCAGTGTTCTGTGAATGCTGCTTCTTCAGCACAAATACCCATCTACAAACACTGCTCTGTAGTTTCAAATAAACAAGACAGAAAATATGTGGGAATGGGTGGATAAATCTTACTGACATCACAGTATTAGAGTTAGGAACAAAGCACAAAGGAATTAGAAAAGGAGCAGATGTCCCCAGCCCCTTACAGGACCTTTAGAGAAGTAGCAGTTTTGCTGTAAAGTGCACTGGGATTTCTGTCCATGACACTGTGTTGAAGCAAATCACAGTTTGCTTTGTTGCAGCACAAAACCCAAATAAGCTGTTGTGACGGTTTTGCTTTTTCAGGAGTGTTAAGAAATGTGTACATAACTACAAGATCTTGGAGTTGGCTTTGGTGGTGGGAGGGATTTTCTTTTATTCTTTCTAGCCTCTAAAATAATTTTTGTTTCATTCACAGCTCAGGCTGCCCCAGTAGTTGCACAGGGTAAGTCATGAGTGAGCATTTCTACATGAAGAAGCATCTGTCAAAGGAAATGATTCAGCCATCTGAAATCACTGGAGGGATGGAAACTGCCTTGTCTGAGTTTACAGCTGTATTTTGACAAATATTACCTGTTTTTCCTCACTATGCTAAAACCATAAAGACTGAACAAGACCAGCTCTGATTTTTTTTCCAGTGAAACAGCTGTCAGGGAGTAAATGCCATTTCATCACAACAACATTTTTTTTTCTCAGATACAGAGGATGGACTTGAGTGTGCATCTCTTTAGGAATTACGTAAAGCAAGAGTGTGAGTGAGATGTGTCAGCATCTCTGGCTAAATTATTCAGTTACTTATATGAAGATGGTTTTGTTGAAGAGACTGAGATATCCACTGATCCTTCAGATTGCTGGGAATGGGGGAGTTGAATTTAACATTTTGCTCAGATTAGTTTCAATCTCTCTCAATGTTTCCCTCCCTCCCTTTACAATTTTCTGGAGTTTTTTGGAAAGCCTCACATTCATTGCACTGAAAATAAATGACAAAACCTCAGGAGTTTTAGATGTGTGGTGCTGTTGCTCCTAGACCTGCTGGTAGGCAGTGTAATCCTTGCATCTGTGACATCTGCCTTCCTCTAGCTACATTGCTAGGAATTTGTGTAAACACTGAAAGCAATTTAGATTACAGAATAAATCCTAAAGCTTTGCTTGATTCTAAAGACACACACAGTCATTCCATTTAGTTTAAGAACTAGGGTGACACTAGCAATTTACCTAGCATGTTAACTTCCTGACATTCAGCGTGGACTTTGCATACAGTGCATAAATATTCCATTTTGATGTTTCTCTAACAGTTATTTTTCTGCTCTCTGCAGCTTCACCAGCACACTATGTGTATGCATCAAGCCCTACATGGTATACTAGTGGTAAGTAGTTTTAATTCTTTCTATTTAGAAGGAAAACATAAGTGGGTGTTTAAATAGCACAATTCTCAGAGTTTTTAGATAATTTATTTCCACAAAAACAACCTTTCTTCTTCCTCCCAGAGGACTTGTACTTCTATTTACTTTAAATAGCCTTGAATGTTTTTCAACAGATGAGTCACTGTGATTGCATATGGTCATTTTCTTAGTCCTCTTCCCACTTGCTAGGCTTTGTGATGGTGGTTGTCTATTCTCTACCCCTCCTGTCCTCATTAATAATTCCATCCTCAAAGATAAGCACTCACAGGTGCCCATTCTGATCCTGTAGCCCGGGTACCAAATTCTGCAGGGTCACAGGATAAATGGCACACACCTGGAAAGTTAGGGGGAAGAAGGTTGTAGTTCACTTTGGAGATATGGTAGCAGCTTCTCTGGGACATCCCTGCTCCACTTGACAGCTGGGCTGGACTAAGCTGGGCATACAGCTTATGCAGGAGCCAGTCCTGCTGGACCCCTCTATCAGCAGATCCACTGCCACAATGTTAAGTGTTCACGTGGAACTTTGACCTTGTGCATCGCTATACAAATAGCTGTGACTTGCCTTTACAGTTGATGGAGATCCACACTTCATCATATCAGTGCCACAAAAAGAAGATGCCATTTGTTTCAATATCAATGAAAAACCAGGTGCTGTGTTAAGGTTGATAAATGATCCAGTTACAGGTGAGTTTGTCACTTTAAAATGCAGTAAATCAAAATACTTACATTGAAAAATCTTTTTTGTAAAGGCTACTTCTCTCTTTTTGTACTGCACAAACCATCTTTTCTGCAAAGTTATCAGGGGCTCCTATCACTGTGATAGGATACTGTTACCATGACTGTTTTCACTTCCTGGAATTGAATGATCTTTTAATTGTTTGAAAACTCTGTGGGAGTTGAGAGATGTTATTTGCCTCGGTAAGTAGAGATAGGCTATAAAATAATCCTCAGTTTGCCATTTCATGGAGCATGTGGAAAAGAGATCACAGAATTGTAAGGGTTGGAAGGGACCTCCAGAGATCACCGAGTCCAGATGGGCTGCTTCTGCCCGTCACAGAACTTCTGTGGTCCAGGAAATACTGAGTTTTTATCAATGAAATAATGGTTGTCATTGCAGACACCTACAGAACAGCTGTATTCCCTTACTGTACTTTTGCACAAACATGCTTAAGTGATTCTGAACTATTTTTCAATTTGGATTTGTTTGGTTGAGCTGCAGATATAACTACCTCAACACTTCTTGACCTCAGCTGATTATCTGTAAAACAGTATTTGATGTTTCCTTTTGATGTTAGGCATCACAGTAAATGGAGAACTCATTGGTGACAAGAAAGTAAATAACGATGCAAAGATCCAAAATACATATTTTGGAAAACTTGGCATTGCAAACAAGCACCTGAATTTAAAAGTGACAGTAACTCCTGAGAAGATCACTATTCAGAATGAGACTGGAAAGACAACTTTCACCTGGCTTGACTCAGTCATGTTTCAACAAGAAAGGTAATGTCAGCAGAAAGAGTATAGCAGATTGCTGGCTTATTTTTTTTTTACACTTTTGTGGGAGGGTTGATCAAAAAATGTGCTTTTAAGATATGTTGCCTGATGATGCAAACAAACTCACCCTGATCCAAATAGTGCTGAATTCTGCTCTCTACTTCATTATGTAACTGACAAATTATTGCATTGGTGATTTCCACTGCTTGGAAGGGTAAGTGCAATTTGCCCTGATTTTCCAGTAGTATGACCAAGGTAAAATCACATTCTATATTGTGCTTAACACAGTGGTGACTTCAGCAAACACTGCAGGAATAATTTTAGTCATGATATCGAGAGCAGGAATGATAATGCTTAGCAACAAATTTCCATTTTGAGACATGGAGATTGTGATATTTATAGGATAGAGTACTATCAATCAATATTAAGATGTTATAATTATGAAATAAACAAGAGAGTTTGACAAAGCAGATTATGATAACAAAAAGAGAATAAATGGAAGGCTTACCCCTCTCCTGGGCTCACTCACAAAACTCCAGCAGAGCCCATCTCCAGAAGAGCTCTTTCCCTGCTGGCAGCCAGCTCTTAAATAGGTCTAGGAGGGGAGCAGCCAGGCAGCCCAGCTGAATTGCCTTCACTGCTCCTCTGGCTGACTCAGTGCTCACCTCAGGTGATCAATCTGAGGTTCAGGCCGTGGCTCAGCAGTTCCCATACAGACAGGTACATTTTGTGCTGTCAGCAGGGATATATCTCATGAGATTTATCTGTTACAGAATTGTTTTCCTGCAGAAGAAAGCTTAGAAAAAGAACAGCAATACCTCCTCCTCTTTTTCATTTACATTGAGTTTCTCAAAGCACGACGCTGAAACAGAGCACTACAGCAATGCTGTGATTGATACAAGATACTTTTTTTTTTTTAATGGCAACTAATTTGATGATACAGTTATCATAATGAGAAGCAAATCTTTATCCTGGTGCTAACCAAGGCATTTCAGGAGTTGTCTTTTCTGTAGAACAAAGGGAAAAGATCTCGGGTAGCATCCAGGCAAGAAAGTGGTGGCTTTATTAACACCATCTTTACTACCAAGCACGAGGTGCTACACTAAATCTCACTAACCTACCTGTGATTAATTGTGCTGTTACAGGAAGAGTTTTGATGGAAACATCTTTCTGTAAAAGGCTTTTGCAGATGTGATGTAGTCTGAGTCTTGAACTGTCCATGAACACACAGATTCACGTAGACCAAACAAAATACCTTAACTTTAAAACACATCAAGTAATTAATTTATAAAGCCATGCTTGTTTGTTGGACATGTTTTGTTTGTCAGCTTTCCTGTGACAGCTGCTAACTCTGGGAAGCTCAATGCCCTGTCATTTTTTTTCTCCTCAGTTTAACTTTGATAATTAACAAGAAAAAAAGCCTGGTGCTCTCAATGGGCAGCGGCGCATCGTTTGTGATAGTTTTGCACCAAGTATGGAAGAAACATCCTCTGCACAAGGATTTCTTAGGACTGTATACATTGGAAAGTCATAAACTGTCTGAACAGACGCACGGATTATTAGGTATGAATTCTTTCAACATCGTGAACATGCTTTCTTTCCTTGAGGCTACATGACTTGCAGACACCACCTTGTACTTGGCCTTTCTGAACTGAGAAAGGGGATAAAATTGAGGCTATGTTGATTAACCATATTAACATTTCTGGAAAAATATTCTGGGCTCAGGCTTTGTGCAAGATTGTTTCTTAAATTCTTCTGCTGCTGCTGAGAACAGTAGCATCTGTTGTTCTCAAGGACGTCTTCAAGACTCTACCTTGCTAAGTCCATCCACAGACCGTTTTAATAATTATTGCATCAGTTCCCCAGTCTCTTGGATGGATTGTTTTCTTCCTCCAGCGTGTCCATTTTCTACTAAATACAAGCACTCTGAGAAAGTAGTGTTTGCAGATCAGTTAAGATGTGCCAAACCACAATTAGTGCATCCCTGGTAAGAAAACTAGCTGGTTTCGTAAATGCTACGAACGCAGGGCTGTTACGCATGTGTGCAGAGATAGGATGAGGAAAGCCAAGGCAAAGAAGGAGCTGAACTCAGGGAGGGATGTGAAAGATAACAAGGAGGGGTTCTACAGGAACATGGGCAGGAGGAGACAGGCCAAGGAGAGTGTTCCCCTCTGGTGAAAGGGAATGGGTTCATTATGAGTCATTGGTAAGGCTGCAACACCTGCATCATTTCAAATGTCTTTTGTGTGTGTGTGTGTGTGTGTGTGTCTCAAATGAACTCTCAAAACTTAGGTGTTACTTTAGAAAGCTCTGCCTAATGACCCAGGGTCACTTTGAATATTCAGATTTGTATTCCCACCATTTGGTTTGCAAGAGCTAAAAAGGCCATTAATAGGCTTCAGAAAGAGCTGGGGTGGTGACAAGGACAATGGCCTGGGTTACTGTTCTTGCAGCTGCCACAAGCCTCACGTGCCCCACATGACAACGACTGGCAGCCACATTGCACTGCCATACCTGTCTGTGTTAGGCTCAAGAGTAGACACCAAACGCCTCAGTTGCTTTTGCAAATTGGCTTCATGTGCCTGTTCACAAGAGACAAATTCTCCCATCAACAGAAGATCACACAACTTCAGTTCCAATATAACATATTAAGGTTTAATGACATATATTATTAACTTATATTAAGTCCAAATATATATTATATCTCTATATCTATATCTAAAATACATTATATCTCTCTATATATGCTATAACCTATATATGCGCAGCAACATGGGCCCTGTGCAAAGATTCCCCTTCCAGATGTTCAGTCCTGGGTCTCATTTTTTCTTCCTCATAAGCCACGTTCTTCAATTCAGCTTTGCCCTTTTTGCAGGCGGTTGCATCTTGATGTCATCATCTTCCATTGCTTTCCTCTTCCTCCTCATCCTCATAGTTTCCTCCAGCCTCAGACATTTTGCTGGAGGTTGCCAAACAAGGATGTCATCTTTTTGGCTTAATTTCCTCTTCCTCGCCAGCCTCACGTTTTCATCCATCCTTGGACGTTTGGCTGGGGGCTGCCACACACGTTTCCCATGCTGTTGGCTCAGCTTCCTCTTCCGCCTCAGCCTCACAGTCTCATCCAGCCTCTGGCGTTTGGCAGGAGGCTCCCAGTTGCAGCAGGACTTTGGTGCTTTTCTCTTGGTGGGGAGCAGAAGCACAGGCATCCTTCTCTTCTACCAGCCCAACTCCCAACGGCCAGCAGGCCTGAACCGTTACTGCGTGTGTTGTGTTCCAAGAACCCATGGCAACGGGCGGCGTGGTCTCCTGACATCATCACCTGCTGACTGTGACCGTTCAGCCCTTCTCAGAGCATCCCACCACCTGCTCCTCCACTCCAAACTCCAACAGCTTCTCTAGGAGGAGCCAATGGCTGACAGTGCTGCAAGTGCCCCTCAGGAGCAGGTAGACATAGCTGGGCACTGCTCTCTGGAGCAGGGAGACAGAGGTGACTGTCCCTGCCTACTCGGCTGTTGGGAGGCCCCATCTGCAGAAAACTAGCTGCTAAGGTGTATCTTGGTTGACTGTCATGTATGAAAACCAGAGAATGCCTTGTATTGCCTAGGATTTCTTTCACGTTAGGTAACATTACTCTAGAAGAAGGTAAAGTTGGTAAACGAAGGATGAAACTTGTGACTTCATTGAATCCCTGTTTCCTGCAGTGTAGTGGGATTTGTGGTGCATTCTCTTCTGAAAAATACGCTGTGGTTTCACACTTCCATTCACACACAGCCATTTTCCTTGCATCCTTATTTTCTCCTAGAAAATCAGGTAAGGGCAGCAGACCTGCATTTTGGGTCATTGTGGTAAATAATGAGCTGCTGTGAACTCATCTGTCAGTCCTGGTGTGCACTTGGAGGGGTGAGGAGAGTGAGCCAAGCTAACTGTGGATGAGGGTGTTGGGTCTGTCACTCTTGGCAAATGCTGTAACGAAACAGAGAACAGAATAAGGGTGCAATGTCAGCACACTTTTCTGTTCCGTAATGTGAGGGAAGAGTTGTGTTCCTTAGGGAAGGAGCCCAGAAGGTAATCCTGTCCTGAACAGGATCCCTTAGATGTCAGGCTGGTTCTAAGCACAGTCTCATCAAGTGATTTCAGAGATCAACAAACGCATTATTTGATTCAAAGAAAGCTGAAGGCTTGGATAGTGGTATGTCATAAATACAGCGAGTAGACAGGACACCAAGTGAGGTAACCTGAAGGGCCGGCCATCTGGAAAAGGCCAGTTTTACCTTACCCTCAGAAGGTGGAACCACATCCAGATGGTCTGCAGAGAATTCCAGTTTCTGCACAGTAAATAACATCGTAGTCATACATGCAACTTTGCACAAAACTTGGTGTTTGCTTGTGCATTCAGAGCCCTGAGGGACCTTGGTAAGCAGCATGGCAATGCAGACATTCTGGGGGCTCTGTTCATTTTGTTTCTGCTTCAGTATGTGCAGCGTACTTGACATGTTAATTTTGGCTTCTGTTTTTAGGGCAGTTTTTCCACCCCATTGACTTTGCCATACTTGAAATGCATCCTGGGTCTGATCCCAAGAAACCAGATGCCACAATGATATTTAAAAACAAGGAACTGATAGTAACCAGGTAAAAAAAGAAGAAAAAGAAACAGAAATCAAATCCTTAGAAAAGACAAAGAAAAGCTTATTTTGCCAATTTGTATTTTCTGCTTTGATACTTGTGTGGCTGTATTTTGCCTTGCAGGGGCTGGCAGAAGGATTACAGAAGAGATCCTGAGCATGGCCTCGATGTTCCCTGCTGGTTTGTTCATAACAATGGAGCTGGGCTAATAGATGGTGTTCATACGGACTACGTTGCTTCCAGTCTGTTTTAAACAGCAGCACCTTCCAAAGTCATGGGTGCACAGAGTATTTTTTTCTGGAAAAATAGTACTTTTCACTGCTGAAGAAGTGTTAAAAATACTCAATCTTGCCATTGTGTGACAGTGCCAAGATCGACCAGAGTCAGATCTTGAGAGGGAAACTGCACTTCTGCCTGTGTGCACAGACATCCCCAATCCCCTAGCACGTTCCTCCAATTTGTAATTAGTAGCTGAGTGTCAGGAGCAATTGAAATAAAAGCATCACCATTTCATGTCCTGTTCCGTTATTCCAATGCCCGTCAGTGCTTTAATGCCTGCTTCTCCAAGCTCAGGGCGTCAGCTGTATTTTGGGACAGAACACAGGAGGGCAGCTGACAGACCAAAACATAGTGCAGATCAGTTCAGCAACACTTACAGTCACTGACGTAGCAGTGAGGGCTGGGCTAGTGCTGTGACTTGGGATGGCTGCTGGCAGTGTGCTTTGAGTCCAGGACAGTGGTTTCTGTGGGAGGTAATAAGCTACTGAATATGGCAGAAGGCAGGCAGAGAAAGAGGAGGGAGGGAGAAAGCTCAGAGCGTTGAGCCAAGGAAGTGGAAGTTCACAGGATTCTGAATTTGTGTTCTAAAATAATGCCTTAGGCAGAGGGAAATAATATCTATGTAAGAGCAGTGATCCACTTTGGATCCTGTAGCAGGAGCTGTGGGGCTATGCAACCAGA